GGTAAAGAACGGTAAAAGCGGTAATGAAACGGCAAAGAATGGTAAAGAACGGGAATAAAATGGTAATAAAATGGCAAAAAACGGTAAAAAAACGAGTATAAAACGGTAGGGAAACGGTAAAGAACGGTAAATTGAAAAATTCTCAGTGTAATTTTAAGTATCACAATGCAACACTTTTTTTGTGCTGATATATCAATGTGTGGATGTGGTCGACGTCGTCAGACCAGGGGCGGATACAAGGAGATGGCAGTGGGTGCAACTGCCATCCACAAAACTTTGGAAAAACTGAATTTTTTATTTATATTAATACAATTTAATTAAGTATAAAAGTTTTGCAGTATATTTTTTAAAAAATAATTATTCAAACTCAGTTATTTAATGAATATATTTATTTTTTCTCATACTTAATTCCATACTTTTTGCAGCGGTTAACCTTCACATTACTGAGTTCGTACCGGATTTCATCAAACAAGAAGACGGCGTAATTATTTATTAATATCTCAACTGTATGGTTATCACCTTCTATCCTCATTTGCATAAATTTGCCCTCGATGTAGAGAAAACTCTCACATGGCAACGTATACAAATCTTGCTGTTGTATCGGTATTCGTATCTCGTCACTGTGTCCAAAAGATGTATTGGCGTATGGATTGTACGTGTGAGTCTCGATCTTGACGATGCGATCGTCAAAGATGGGCTCACCGCCAATGTTCAAAATGTCGACCATTTTCACGTATTTTTTCTTACGATGAATCCCAAAGATCTTAAAAATGCAATGTTGGTTGCACTAAATTTCTTATTTTTCTTGATGCAGTCGTCTGTAATTATACTCTTGGTTGAAAAAATGTCACTCATGTATTTAGCCTGACTTGCTTCGTTTAATACGAGCATCTCAAGTTTCCTATTGCCGCCGACGCACGTGCAACCTGACGATTATCTCTTCTCCGCGGAAATCAAGCAATCGTGTTGATCCACAACACGTATCGTCAAATCCGATACGCTCCGTGCAAAGATCAGAAGATAAATGATCTGTACTGGCGTTTCCGATATTTTATATCCTGGTGGCACATTAAGCAAAAACTCGTGTATGGTGTGCACACATCTGTCGTTGCTGTACGCACCGGTGGTCACATTACATTCTACGCAAATAATATTCACATCTGTAATGTTGATCGTCACGTTCGATTCGTGCCATTGTCGCGGCAGTAGAATGCGATATGAAGAAAATCCCAGTAGCGACGCAATAGTATTTGGTTTGTTAAAGTTTATCCGGTAAACACATTTGATCTCACACTTCATTTTATTCTCATTGACGCGAATAACTATAAGATCATAATCATCATTGGTAGTGATCGGTTTGACGGTTTCCCACATCGCACGTTTTAGTTACCGGTATATGGCATACAATTCGTTTGATCCCTCAGGAATTGTAATTTCCTTGTCATCTTCATCAAAGTAAAATTTATTATTCAACGCATTTAGATTCGGTATCGTATTATAGGTTTCAAAGGCTGTCAAATTGAGTTCGTAATCGCCATCGCTCAGATCTGTGGCTGAAAAGTAGCTTCCTGCGAGAGTGCTACTCCTGCGAGTGTAAATGTCAGCGACATCTTCGTCAGAGACCAAAACGATTACTAGATACCGATCGCAGAACGTTGGACCTTAAATCGGTTGTTAATTGTCTGCAGGAAACGTAGACACAGTTGTCCGCAAATGCACTGATTGTAACATTGATAAGACGTACGATTGTACTCAATCGTATTATTCTCGAGATATCGCACCAATTCGCTGGGTGGTCGAAGATTACCAAAACTATCAAAATATATCACGCGATCATCTTTTTTCGCGTACGCTACCCAATGAGTATCGAAATTTATGATGCCGCTCTCGTTTATGCGCGGCGATGTAGGCAGTACGTACGTTGCGCATGAAAACGCCCCTGAAGAACGGAATACGCCTACATTTCGCCAATTGTTCCAATTGTACATTGGTGGTGATGCCCGTAGGCATTTTCAGCATTTTTTCGACGTCTTTTCCTCTCATGAAACCTTTTCCTCGTTTGTATGGTGCGAGATAAATTCCACGACCTTCCATTCTGCGATTATGACGTTGCATCTCCTGCAGCTAACGCTGCGCAGCCTTGGTATCGTTTACCGCCTTTGCGACCCCCGCCGCTCAACCAACTAGCGATCCAAGCGCTCCCAGCAGCGGGAGAATAAGCAGGATTTCATCTCGTTTTGCTATTGGAAGTATTCGACTTTGTTATATTTTCTTCCTCGACGTGCTTCTCTTCTTTTTCATGCGCATTCCGATTTTTGTCTTAGCCTTCATAGCTGCCCAAGCAGCTGTAGCGGCGGCTCTTTCACCGAGAGTGGAATCTCTCGCGACTACACGTTCTCGCGCCTTGCCAGTTAGTACGTTATCTGCTACGTGATGTTCGACAAGATCGTTGCTTTGAGAATACGCGATATAATGCTCGCGACATGCCGCATCCAACGGATTGATACCTTGATCACCTGTGGCCAATCGTGTCCGCAAGCGTGTACCCGGACCGTAAAACAGATAGCCGGGGATGTGCAGTTCGATAGGAAGCGCGTTAATAGCACGATTTAACAGACCGTTGCCGATTTTTACTGTTTTCGACAACGACATTCACCACAGTCTATTATCAACGGTGCTGGACCGTCGATGTGCGTTTGCTGCCACGGACGATTATAATCTTCCTGGCACTGACGATACTGTCGAACCTTGAAAAATTTCGATGATAGAATGCGAGTAGCGTCCGAAAATGTCATAGATACGCATGGCCACTTGCTACCGATTACCATATGCGGTATCGTGTGTGGCCCTTCGAATTGTGGTAAGACGAATATGTTGGTGAGCCTGCTGGAGAGTCCATACGGCCTGCGTTTCGAGAACCAGTACGTGTACTCGAAATCACTGCAACAGCCGAAATATCGCTACTTGGAGAATTTGTTTGCGTCTATAGACGAAATTAGCTTTTTTACATTTTCCAATAACATCGATGTCGTTCCGCCGAGCGAAGCGCTGCTAAATTCCATTTTTGTTTTTGACGACGTGGTGTGTGACAAATAAGATAAGATAAGAGAATACTTTCCTATGGGTCGCCATTCGAACGTTGACTGTTTCTATCTTTGTCAGACGTACACAAAGATACCCAAGCATCTTATACGGGATAATGCGAACTTGCTGATTCTCTTTAAGCAGGATGATACCAATTTGAAACACAAAGATCACGTGAACACTGATATGACGTACCAAGATGTTTGCGCACTGTGTCGCGAATGTTAGCAGCAAAAATATGGTTTCATAGTGATAGACAAAGACAGTTCTATAACTGATGGACGATATCGGCGAAGATTAACGATATTGAAATACTGTAATGTGACCATTTGTCGTTTGTGCGTCAACGAGGAAACGTCTAACACATCGTAATGGAGACGTCAGATTACACAGAAATTAGCAGCTCAAAGATTAAAGATGGTGAGAAGATGGCGAAGGAAATTGCGAAAACAAGCGAATCGATCCATAAGAAATATCGAGCTTTAAAAACCGGGAAGATAGAAAAAAACACTGTGTTGGAAAGATACTTTCGACCTGTTATCGAGCCTCTGTGTATCGACAGATTATGGAATATACCACTCATGTGAAACCTGACGCATCGATCATAATGGGATATGATGCGTTATCGATCGAAGAGGAGAAACCAAAACGCAAAGTCAAACGTTTACTTGTCTCCTCTACACCGATCTACCCGAAGCAGAGAAAATTAAACGTCACGACGGATTCTTCTACGGTAACCTCCACACTAACAAACAACTTGCATTGTACACAATTGCGCGAAATTCCTCCACGCGTTACTCTGTCGTGCCCCGTGTTGCCGGGACGCGAGAAGAGTTCGAGATCGGTGATGCGGGCGCGGCAGGGTGTGTGGCGGTGTGTGGAAAATGTATTCAATAGTTGTACTACGTTTAGTAGTTTTAAATATAAAGTATTTATTTAATAATTACACTTGGACGTGTTTAATAACTACTCCCGAAATTTGTTAGTAATGTGCGAACCGCGCGTCGGTTGCGTATATCGCGGCGAGAGACCGAGGTGTTAAGTCTGACGCGGGCGGTCTTCTCCGCTCTTTTATAATATTGTTTTAGGCTTGTTGGAGGAAGTGCCTGGCGACAAAAACATTACCATATTTGGTAATGGTTTAA